TTTCCGTTATTCACAAAAGGGCAAATAGGTTACTAACCAACGAAAGATGCGTAAATTATCCATTGCAACTATGCAATTCAATAAGATGCTTTTAAGGTAGACGTTACATTTTTCAAAACATTTTATAATTGTTTTGTATCTACAACTTTTAAGGTTGTTGCTTAAAAAATGTAAATTGTAATTTTGAAAAATTCGTATAAACTCAGTTTTAATTTTTATCATTTTTCCGAAAGAGGAAATGACTATTTTAGCCATTTAGCAAAACCGCGGATATTGATGTCGTAAAACTCTTTAACAGCGATAAAGGCTCAGTCTTTTATGACCTACCAACTACATCCTCTTCGCTATAGGTAAAAAGTCAAGCTAAACTTTTGGTTTACAGTAAATATCCTCGACATATAATAATATATTTTAGTATTTATACGATATACAATTAAGTCGCTGTACTACTTTCTGTCGGACAGGTAAGCAAAATTATGAATATTGTAGATTTCACTATCCTGTTTGTAAACATGATTTTCTGGAATAAATTTAATGAATCGCATTTATCCGCACGTTTACAGTAAATCTTCAGTTAAGAACGAGTTTTTAATTAAATGCTTCTATAGGCGGACCAATCCGAAGAACTAAATTAATGCTGTTTAAAAATAAATTGTATTGATTGATGTGATTTTTTTTTAATCCTATGTTGCAGGTATGTGGAGAAATTATTAACAATTCCAGGTTGTAGTTATTAAATTTCTTTATTTTAGTACAAATTAATGCGAAAATCTTTACATCGTAGGCTAGAATAGAGCTGCTGGTGGTCATAGACATTATTTTCTATAATCTTAATTTTTAGGACTAAGTTTATTGCGCGTATCACTGGATCCAGAAATGTTTTTTCTTTTTTCTTTGGAAAAGGCACGATACGAGAACAACTCAAGAATCAGTGCCATACTCAAAGTAACTAACAAAACGTGCAAAAACGTCAGTCAATAGTTCAAGTAAAACTAAAAAATATTTCATATATTGCAAAAACTAGATTTTAAAAAAATATTCATGTATGGAAAATAAGATTATAAGAACATTTTCTCTCTCCAGCCGAGCGTTAGCGCATGTTGATTGAAACACGCTGTATTGCTGCCTGTATTGAAAATATTTTTTTATGCAAAAAGTCATTTTTCCCGTACGGTGAGGAAAAATTGCTTCAAACCCTTACTCAATTGTTATAATGTATCTGTGTATAATGTACGGTGAGGAAAAATTGTTTCAAAACGTTACTCGATTGTTATAATGTATCTAACCACACCAAAAGAAGCATTTATCAATTTTAAATTTAAATTTATTACTCTCCTTCTTACGTATATATTTGCCTCTGGATGATGCATTTGAACATTAGTTTTACACACCTAATAACCTTTTTGTCAGTAAACGAAACGCAAAACAAATATAACATATCCTCAAATACAACTAGATAATTCTCAAGTCGCAAAATACACAAAAAATAAACGGGCGGACTCAAATTTTATAAATCGAATGGAAATAGTATATTATGCAACAAGTGCGGTAAACGGTATTTGACTCATGAGTTTATTTGACACGAGCGGAGCGAGTGTATAATAAACCAGTGAGTTAAAAAGTTTACCGAACGTGTTGCATACTATACTTTTTCTACGACCATTAGTTTTTGGGTACATTTTCGTAAAACAACACGAATACATTCACTGACATGACCGTCAGAATTGAAAAACGTCAACATTCAAAGCGTGGGAAATATCTCCGAAAACATCCGATTGCTCCCAAACCCGTGCGGTAAAATCCCGGAAATGTACGAACTGCCTCAGATTCGTGGGAAAGGAAACTGACGTGGTAAAGTGACGCTTCCCGCCCGCGAGATCGGTGAGTAATTAGGGATTTTACAGACGGGAGTAGAACAATCATATTGTAAACGCACTTTTACTTTGCCGCATTTGAGGTTTAACCTAGATTTTTTTTATAATTGACGCGACTAGAAAACCGTCTAGTATTTCTGAGGAACTTATTGAAAATTAATTATATGATGTAATTGACACACGAGTATAAAATATTAATGCAACAATTCTATGGAAACACGCTGCCCTGAGGAACTACCTGATTTACAACCTGTGTCGGATAATTAATAATTAAATGAAATTAATGAAAAACTTCAAGCTCACATTAAACCATACAGAGAGTACTAAAACCGAAAAAATCGGCCATCATTAAAAAGGCGGTTCGTCGTTTGAATTTGATCCCATGTCAGATTTGGCGTCGACCGGGATCAGAGAGTGACAGCTGCGTTAGGGGTTCGATGACGTCAGGAGGTCCTTTGTGTTGCAATCCGTTAGGTAAAATGGGACCGGGCAAAGGGGGATAATAAAAGCCCATCCGCCGTCGAAGCCTTTTAAAAAATCAGTTCGATAAAAATTTGTAGTTTCAATTCCGGAATTACTGCAGACTAAAGTTTTTTTAAAAAATTACTGCTATCTATTATTGTCAATAAGGAAATAAATGACACCAAAAATTCTAAAACTATTCCAAAAAGACCAAGTGTGTTAGTATAGTTATGTAGTCACGATAAAAATGTATCAATACCCCTAGAAATCATTATTCTTAATTTCTTATATTCAAAATCTAACTAGTTTCAGATTTTGAATATAAGAAATTAAGAAGAAAAGAATAATAATTAGCACATGCGCAATTAGATGAGGTATTCATTTATTGAGAATTTAGTTTATGCTAGCACTAAAATTCAAATTTCTAAATTTTTAGTAATTGTTTCATGACCCAGTTTCCCTTACTACACTTATTTCGGATGTTAGATTCATAGTTGAGTTGACCCCATTGCGTCGTAAACCTTTTAAATTTGTTGTTGTTATATTTTTAAGTGTTTTACGAGTTCCGTCACACTTTGCAATGTTTTTTTTTATTACAAGAATTCAGTTGTCACCAGTTTCGACTTTATTAATCAAGATAATTTTTCAAAGAAACTTCCACGAGCTATTGTAAAGTTATAAATCCTCTGGATTTCTCCTGATATTTCAGTTTCAGATAAGCTCCTAAAAAGCCAACGGGATGATTGGCGAAACGTCAGCAAGTTCGATTCATTCAACCGACACAAGAGGATGATGCATGTGTATTTATTGATAGTGTTCGCAGAATATGAGAAAAAAAATGGAAGAAAAACAAAAATATGCATTATTATTAAAAGCCAAAACTTTTGTATTCATGGCAAAGTTCCACCTGGTACTGATAATTCGAACTATCAAAAGTATTCGATCCTAAATGCCTTCCGTACAGATTTCTACTAATTCAGTTTAGTGAGACTGGCGCCCTCTGGTTCCGAAAGTATTGGACCAATGGGGAAATGTTTAAGTCGGTTTCTGCTTTCCTGGTAGTCAAACCGCTACCAATTTCGTCTCCGAAATTTTAAAAACTTGCGACAGATGGCGCGGAAGCGCAAGAATAAAAAATCTGAGAACTCCCATAAAGATTAAAAAAATAAGTCAAACAAAAAAGAAAAGGGATATATATTACGACCTGTATACAGAATGGAAGCAGAATTATGCTTTTAATAATATCTAAGAAATCATAATTTTCACGAGTTTATCAAAAATTTTATTATTTTAATGAGACCTTAAAGCTGGAAAAGTTCATCCTTTTAATAAAGTATGCAACAAAAAATAATTACTTCATTAGTACTGAAGTTAAATCAAAATTTCATTGTCACACTTGGCATAAAATCTGAGTACCTAGTAATAAAATAAACGAGCATTGGACGATTCTACTGTAGCAATAAAATATCTCTAGTATATAATGCAGATTGTATATTTACATTTTACTCACAAATTAAGTACCAGTTGAGAATAATTTTAAGAGTATTTCTTAAGCACGTCTTATTTTTTAAAATTTGTGTTATCCCTTTTTTATTTTCTGATTTAACATTAACATTGACGAAAAACGCAGTTAAGCAGATTTTTCTCGATATTGAACTTTCCATTGAATCATTTTTTTTTTATTTCACTTCAGCAGTTAAAATTGAAAAAGTATCCTTCTACCGCTACTTAGAAATCAGAAAATGATGTCATAATTCAGAAATCATATCGATAGGAAAAAATACAATTCCGATCTTTTAACTTAACGTTCAATACACCTTTCAACACATTACATATGTATTTCAATAGACACATTCGTAAGCAAGTTCTTATTTCAACATGCGTCGCCGGTCAGATAGCGATAAAAACCACAGATTTAAGATGTTTTATCTTCTATGCAAATTTCGTTGCGGGCAAACGTCTGTATAAACCTCTTCACTTCGGACAATCCGTGACAGCAGCGGACTTTATTTTGATCCTTGACCACCAAACCCTTGATGTATCTCTGCTACTGAAAGGCATCAGATTTACATTTGTAATACAAGCTCTTGAATGCAATTTATGTCCCTTTGTGTGTTCGGTTTCATTTTTTAATCTTGCGATTTGTATACGTATTGAGTGTTGGATGGAACATGTCCCGTTTGACATCACTGTGGAACAAAGCTTAACGGTTTGCAGAAGTTATTGAAGCCAAGGTAAATTTATTAGATTGAATCGATAAAATAGATAGTCCAGATAGACCAGTTTGGGTAGGTTAGGGTTTAGATTATTATGTGTAGTCGCCTTGCCGGCCCTTCGCTTCTAGTGTGGGTTAGTATCAATATTTTGGTGATTCAGTGGTCATCTTAGTTTAATGCATCTACGGATTTTCAAATTGATTTTTCGTTCCTCAAAAAGCGCTTGTCAGTTTTCTTTCATTTGACGTTTGGCCCTGGTTGACAGATATTTGCCAAAAAAAAATTAGTTATCCTCGCTTTGGCTGACCAGAACCAGAACAAAGGATGATACAAAAAGGTATTTTTTGAATTGGTAACTAAAACAATATATTTACTTTTTCCTATGGCGAAGAGCGTATTTACTAGAATGAAACGATGAATTTTTTATTAATAGTTTATTAGAGTGGACAATTACAACAGTAACTATTAGTAGAACGTACCCATCTAACGTGTATCGTCCGTCACACAAGTTATTACAAATTACATAAATAATAAAAAGAAATAAAATTTGTAAACATATTGAGCTAAAAATAATATACACACTATGATACAATTTTACAAATCGTTTTTGATAGTTTTTTTTGTTCAGTACGGCGAGAATTGAATAAAAATACTGCGGATATTACCTCATTTTTGAAACGAATAATTTTTAAATTAATTATACATACAAGTCGTTTTAATCTTTTTTTTTTAATTTGTAATGTAGATACGACTTTTTAAGGTTTTAGCTGCAACGATATATGAAATGCAATATTTTCTTTGCGCAAAACAACTTGTATGTATACATCTTCGAAAATAATTACTAGCAATTATTATATACACCTGTCGAGTATATTTCTAAATTTAAAGTACTTTAGCTAACTTAATAATTTAAATTATGACCATATTTACAAAAAAAATTGTGATAATTTTTTCTACCGACGTATTTACATTAAAGGGTCCTAAACTATGAAATCACACTTGTTTTTTTCTTTTTGTAGAATTAATTACACAGAAAAGTGAGCACAAATCAGTGTCTATTCACGTGAATCTATATCGCCAATCGGAAAACGGTATCTAAACAAAAACCCTCCCAACAATTATATTGCACATTTAATTTAATTTGAGTCCAAGTACATTTTATATACCTACGTTTTATCGAAAACAATAGAAAATTTGTTACAGTCTCTATAGAACAGTAAAACAACATAAATTTAACAAAAAACAAATTTTAGAACATAGTCGTATATGTAAAATATCGCAGATTACTGTTGTTTATAACAAAAAATTAATCCAGCAAAACCAATACGTTTGTTCGATCGTAAAAAACTGAAAAAGTACATACCAGCGCATTTTTGCGAAAAGTAAGTACGAGCTATATGGTACCAAATTACTTTCAAAGTTCATTGGCACGAACAAAGTGTTAACAGAAACTTACGATTATTCACCCATTTTCAGTTGGTGCTTTTCAGGTAATGGAGGCAGAGGCATGAAACTGTATGGATTTTTCTAAAGTTCCGGTGTTTCTTATGGAACAAGTAAACACTAGATAGACCCGCGAAACTGAAACTTATGAAATCACTGCAGACATAACATGGTGACCCATTGATGACAAGCCAAAAATTGAAAACCTCAGTGGACCTGCTGTTTTCTATTTGAACTGATTATCGGTATAATCGTAAGCCGGAGACTGTCCTAGGATCCGATAGGCACCTACGAAGGGCCGCAGTCTCCGTTATAGGTGGCCCAGGGCTAGCTGTACGGACTCCCGCAGGCATAAAGGCCACGTTGCATAGGCCCCATACCTCCCATCCCCATTGCTTGGTGGAATGCATAGCCTTCATCTTGTAGAGATGCCAGGTGGAAATCTGGAACAAATATGATTTGATTTGTTCTTAGTCAGGCTGCTTTTGCTGTTCGACAGGGATGGGAGGTAATTCAGAAATTTTAAGTAAGATGTATGCGTTTAGGCGATAGGCAGATTTTGTGTTTGGTTAGGTTACGCTTTGCTTCTAAGTTGCACCAGGGTGCTGATTTGTAATATCCATAGTGTGTTCCCTAATGGGTCAGTTTTCTTCGACTGTTTTTAATTAATTATTATTATTGCATCGAAGTAAAGTATCCAAGAATTAAATTTCATAAAGGAAATTACATTTATCGTAAGCTTACCTTCGATGTTTAGAATTTATTTAGTTTTGAAAATGTTTGTAGGTGTGTATCTAATGATGAAGAATAGCTATTGCTTCTCTTAAACCATAAGTATATGACGTAGTATAAGATAACACAATAAAAATTTTGTGGATATTGCTACCTCAGACATTTCAGAAGACACTAGCAAAAATTGCCTGCAACTTTTTCTACTATAGCTGGAAGAATATAAGTCCAATTTTTGAACCGAAAATTGATGACTGAAAGAACACGACAAATCAGTCAGTGACAAACGTAAAAAACTAGGAAGCAATAGTAACGCGAAAGAACACCAGTTTCCAATAGTTTCAATTAAAACAACTTTTTAACTCACCGAATATGTTAGAATTTGAACATTTAAACTTAAGCCCAAATGATCAACTTTGACCTGTATATTCATATGCGAAATGTTATATATGGACATATATGGACGATGGAGGAACTTTCATAACCTTTACTTATTACTGGTAATGGTTTGATACACTATTAGCTTATATCTATAATAGTATCATTTTCGAATTTTATTAAAATAGATTGAATGATCATCACCGTAGTAGCAAGTAGTTCCGTCGGATGGAGTTTGTACCACATTCCAACCACCAAATCAACTAGCAGAGCAATATAATGCTAAAATACCGCTTAATAAGGGGCTGAATGCAGAATCTGAACAGTTAATAGAAGTTTTGCATTGAAAAATTTGATGCTGCGTAAGTAATTGCATTAAACCCTTGTACGTGATATACGTTTTTCTCTTTCATTCTTAGACTATATATACGTATAGTCATATGTATATATACATAGCATATCCTAATTGACATATCCGGCTTACGTCTGATAGGCGGTACACGTTCTCCAAGCCAATAGCCCATGTAAAACAAATTCTCCGCATTCGAAAGTGCCAAACAAAAATAGATTATTCATCGGTTTTGAAAACTTAAAATAGCCCGACGTATATATGATTTTTAGTTTGAAACCTTCGATTTTGGGTAACTTTTGGGAAAATAAATATAGATTCTTTAATGGAGTGTTGTTTTGTCAGAGCTCTGATTGATTGTAACACAAACTTTGATTGTCTGTGAAAAGAAGTGATTAGTCAGTTCGAATACGAGGTTCTATATATGTGTTGGGGCTACCCATTTTTGGCACCTTTAGTCAGCATCTATTGAGTTGATCTTACTTAAGCTTACGTAAGAGATTTATGTCAGTTTTATATTCGCCACACACGATCACCGAAATCTTCAAATTCATGGCTCGTCGGAAAAAATATTTTTTAAGTTAAATGATTTTTTTCTATATAAGTACACGTATCCACTTCTTTTCTCGTATATCGTTCATGTTTTGCACGATAGATTAAGATGGATGTATTGTTTGGTTTGACGTAGTTGGAAGAAAAAGATTCCTCCTGCGCCGCTTTTTGCTGAGTCGAAACGTCAGCAAGTTCCACGCAGGAGGAATCCAGAAGTTTCGTAAAAAGTTTCTTCGAAAAATTAAAAAACTGAACTGTTGATATATTATGCAACAAGTTTGGTAAACGAGTTACGAATTTGATCTAGCACGAGCATAGGGCAGCGGAGCCAGTACTTACTAAATGAGGAACTGAAGAAGTTTATCAATATGAGCACATACTATATACACGAATACATTCACTGAAATTGAATAAGAGTTTAGGTGTAAAAAAACACAGTTTCTAGAGGGATTTCAAATATTTTAAAAGCATGCACAACGAGTAGTGTTTATCTCAGTGCGACTTTAAATTCGAACACATAGTTTAAGACATAGCATGTATTGAATTTTATACAGTTTCCCTGTTAAATTTCCGAATTTGTATCTTACTACTTCTAAATAGCATGCACGATTTAAACTAGGTTTCACAATTTCATATTGGAAAATGAGAGGACTAAAACAAAAACAAATATATATAAAATAATGTAAGAAAATCTTGTATAATATGAGATTTCTGGGACAACGATCACCAGCAATAATCCTGTTATTTTCCATTTTTAGTCAACGCAAAAATAAAACAAAACAAAAATACCTATCGAAACTAAAATAAACATCCTAAGTCGCTAGGTGAGCAAACTGACTGGGATGCAAGTCAAACTGATAAGGGTGACCATAAGGAGACATGTGATATGGAACGATATTCATACTGGCCATCTTGTGTTCCTTTTTCCATTTCATCCTTCTGTTTTGGAACCATATTTTGATTTGCCTCTCCGTCAAACACAGTGCGTGTGCTATTTCTATTCTTCTCCGTCTCGTGAGATACCGATTGAAATGAAATTCTTTTTCTAATTCGAGCGTTTGATACCTCGTGTAGGACGTTCTTTGTCGTTTGGTTTCTCCGTTTGCGTTTACAGTACCTGAAAGAAAATAAAGGGATTAGCACTAGAAGATTTGGGTTCTACTTGATTAAACCAAGGCATTGTAAATTATTAATCATGAAACATATATGAAGAAACATGTATTAGGCTAAATAAATGATTCCATTATGTTAAATAGTATTCGTCATGAGTTTAAATAAAAGTTGCCTTCTTTTAATTTAATATGTACTCCTAAATTTTTCAGATTTCCGTAAATACGACATACGTGAAGTTTACGCAGATGATAGACAACTTTGTTTTTTTATTTTAACTGTTTTTGTTATAGCCGCACTGTATTAATTAAAGCGACTCTGGTTTTGGGATTCCAGGTTAATTATCGCCTTTCCATTACCAGCAAAGACAGGAGTTAGAAGTTTAATCAGCTAAGTATAAGTAGAAATGGAGCCACCATGGAGCTTCTATCCACAGCCAGAATGGAAAATAGAGATCCGCCTTGTCCATTTAATTAATACAAAAGTGCCGAGCCAGAACTGACAAGAATAATAAAGAAGTAGTTGCGTTGCACTTAACGTGTCTTTAAAGATTGCCATTACTTTTGCTTGTTTGGTGGTTTGCCAAAATATTTGATTTTGAAAGCGCCCTAATTCCACTTGACAATTTCACATAACGATTCAAAAAGTTAAATAAGAAATTTTAATTTAAAGAATTAATTTAAGCAGTGGCCGGGTTCTGGAACGATAAAGATAGGAATTTAAAACAGTTCCTTGATTTTAAAAACTAATTATGATGAGCTTTGGAAAATGCACTTTAAATATTCCCGAGAAAGAGATATTTAGTTTTAAATCAGGTTTTATTTTTTAACTAAGTACAGTGTTTTGATAACAAATTGCAACAAATGAAAGTGTAAATGCAGGAAAATGAAAAGGAAATAGAAAACTTCTGCGTCTGCGCGTTTTCAAAAGTAGGAGCACCTTGGGTCCCAAGACCCGGGTTGTAAATGTAATAATTCTTTGCAAATGAATCCAAAGAAGTCAGTTGTGTAACTTTTTTATTGTGTTACTGTAATTTTAAATGTTATAATAACAAATTGTCTAATAACAGATAGGTAATAAGCTTCGTTTTTCATTATCAATTTGCGTTTAACAATGTATAAATCGACTAGGTTTGTATCGTTTTGTAATTCTAAAAACAATCCTGTGCGATCGAGTAATTTTGTCACTATTTATTATCAATATTAATTATGTGAGGGTGGGCCGGATTAACATAAGAGGCAACAATTTCATAGATATTGCGATTTTATTTCAAATTGTCAATAACCTCCACAAATGCATGCAAAATTTACATTTTTTCTTCGTCACAGACTTAGCATTTCGATATGTTTCACATAACTTTTTTTTCTTATTCAGGAGTTAAACTTTCCTGCAGTAGTTGCTCGCTAGGTATGGAACGAATTTTTTGTTCTTTGGTTTGAACTATACCTTGAAATATATATTATTATTAATGCGTTATACAATTTAACTCATGTGGGAGCAAAACAAATATAAAAAACACAACAAAATTTTTGCTTATATACAGTTTTAGTCCTAAATGTGTATAAGTTTTGCGGCACAACAAAATGGCCGATGCTCTTCTTATAGTATTTCCAGAAACAAACCTACGAGGCAATAGATTTAGACCGATTTCAAGGGTCAGCATTTAATTATCCAAGTTCCAAAAAAGTTTCAAACGAATAACCAACAACCAAATCACTCAAGTATTTAGAAAATTAAAAATAATACAAGAATTATTCGGATTTTCTTTAAATATCACCTGTAAAGAATCTAATAATCTAACTAACCAATGTTAATTGGATCTGGAACCTGAGTTAAAAACGACAACTACATCCCAACAACCTAATCGACATTGTGGTTTCGTTGATCAAGGAGAAATAAAATTAAAAAAAATACTTTTTGAAACTTCCTCCAGGATGAATGGATGGGAGGTATCGGAATGTTAAGAAATTATTCTTGGCCGGTGGATGGGTGCTATAAAAGGTGTGCTTAAGCGCAGATTGGCCCTAAAGGAAACCTTCAAACCTATTCTCAATTCTCATTCTACAAGTAGGTAGGTACGATTCGATAGCCCGTCGTATACAAACACAAAAAAATGATATGGTACGAAAGGCGACCGAAAACTGGTTAATTCTGGCGAAAATGGCGATGAATGATGATGAATTCGTAGCTGGTTTGGTCACACACCTTTACCGAAGAAGTGTCAATTCACTTGGGAAAACATTGACGATATAACTGATGATATATGACGCACGATCTCTCGCAACTAATTATATTTGCCGTGAACCGGTGTAGAACAAAGTGCGGTTCTCTTAAAATTCTACCAGCCCGTAAATATCGAAACACCTACACAGAGACACGAGAGGAAACAAGAATTCAGTCGGCGAGATGCTGAAGAAGTGCCGCCGGTTGTCTGTGTCTAAAACGGCATAGGCCGTTCCGATCCTGCAGAGATGCTGTCTAACGGAGTAATTTATCGAATCTGTTCCGTATTTATACGTTCGCCGCAAACTGTCGTTCATAATTCACGAGCTAACAGGTGTAGTTATGAATATAGGTCTGAAAAATCATATTCGCGAGTAATTTTACATGAAATTAGACAAAGTTTATTTGCTTAACGAACGCCTACATCTCGTCAGTCGAGCTTAAACTTATTTGCTAATCTGGAAAACGATCTTGGATGCCGTACGACGTTGATGTTCCTGTTTTTGCTAGGGTGAAATGCCCAGAAGTTATATTATTAAATTGTAAATTTGCAGTTCAGCTGTACTGAAACCCACTCGGTTGGAACTAATGCAATGCAAATATCATTATAATCGTATATTTGTATATGTTACAAGAATAGCAGGATTTAGGTTCGCAGGTATTAGACTTTGTTTTGTTTTCACGCACCATGCTATTTCAAAATAAGCTTTCCATTTTAGTAAACCGAAACACACGATCAGAATCATCATCATCATCAGCACCACTGGATTAGACTTTGAACATTTTAAGATCGACTAAAACTTTTGAAGTCGTGGCAAATGTGTTCTTACATATGCAATATTAATAATATATCTTGTTATTCTTATACATTTATATAGAGCAAATCTTGCATAAGACAATCAGGAGCGCCCTTCAACCTAGCTTTCGTTATGCTCAGTCACTGCACAGAGCTTTGAATATTCCCTGGATGTGAGTATTTCAAATTCAGTGTAGTTGAGTGCTCCTTGATGACCTTACGCCCATGATTCCTGTTGAAGTAATGTATTCCTACATATGCCGCTCCAATTAAATATTTCCTTTTTTTCTTTTGTTATTTCACATTATTAGGACTTTTAATGAAAGTATGTATGTTTTTTTTTTAAAGCAATTTATTGTTTTTTTTTTCTAAACTTGTTTGGTAGTTACTGTTGTCCTCTCAGCTGAGAATAGGGAGTGTTGAATCGATATTGACTTGTTTTATTTTAATACGTAACCACGACATTAAATATTTTAAATGCACAGAGAAATTTGGAACATAGTTGTCAATGAAGCTGTTTGAAAGCATTGTATAAAAGTTAATGTAGTTTTGAAAAATTCATCATTGGCATTACATTGCATAAATATTAGTGAATCACATTCTAAACGAAATTAGAAACGAGAGTTACTAAAAAATGGCCCCAATATGGCAGTGAATTAAGTAAATGGAAATACAAAGAAGAAACTGGTTGCTTCAATGACAATTACAATTTAGCTATTTAATAATGGGTTTGCTGAGTGATGACTGCAAAGATTACTATCGTTTAACTCTTAAAATTTTATGGCTAGTTATCGTCAAAGCCAGAATAGCACAGGTTTTATAGTAAAAAGCAAAAGTAACTTAAGTTCAATCATACGGTAGTATATAGACAATACACAATAGATTTATTGCTTCTACAGTATATTTATAGCAACGAGTTTCCACGTTACACTACTTAAATAATAATAAAAAAAGAATAAAAATATTTGTGAAGCACCTACAACTAGAGAAAAAACGAATTGCAATTCGTTTTAAATTATTTTTGTTGGTGTGATCCAAGTAAAAGACAAAATATTAAAATTACAGATAGATTCGTTTCCAGGCACCAATTATTGGCAACTTTCAAAGAAAATATGCTGAAATATTTTTTTTGTATTCTGGTCATATATAATGCAAATATACCCATACATACATACATACCCCATTACAAATTAGTTTAACGTGGTATTAGCAGTACTGCTGACAAATAAACTTAATACATTTCTACGGTATGAACGTATTGAAGAACAAATTGCAATGGTAATCCTCCTGTCAATCTAACCGTATATCAACAAACAAATCATTACGTCCGACCTTTTTCGCAACATGTTGAAATACTAAACGATGATGGTAATAGAATGTCCGCTTTCAAAAAAATTGGCTCCAAGCTAGAAACTTTTAAAGGATGTTTCTGGAGATCAATTAGCGTGAATAGCGAGGACACGGTAAGGTTCATCCAAAAATTTCTTGCACTTAATTTTTGTAAATGTTATTTGGACCGTTTTTACAAAATTTCAAACAACAAAACTTGATAATTTACTCAAAATCCGTGTGCTCCATCGAGAGGATTCCTACACATTTCCTCCAAGTCAATTGACGTTTACGGGAACTTAAATCTTGGTCTCGAAGCTTTTCGGTTGGTGTCCCTTATTCGCATGAAACATCAAAACGATTTACCAGAAATCCCACTCCTTTGAAATGTATAAATAATAATAACCGGCTTGTTATTCGAAGTGTTACCACACAGATGTTTATTTTACAAACGCATACGCAAATCCCTGCGCGTGTACCTAAACCCGTATTTTTGGCAACATGTCGCATTTGAAGCGAAGAAACATTTGCGGGCGCTGTAAATCTTCGGCATTCAAAAAAGTTTAGAGCTCTGATGCTAAATTTACGACCGATCTCACATTTTATCAAAATCATCAGTTTAAAGCGTTCAGTACAACCCTGTGACGAATGTCCCGGTC